TCTCTCTCTCTCTCTCTCTCTCTCTCTCTCTCTCTCTCTCTCTCTCTCTCTCTCTCCAGGTTTCACATACTGCAAACTTCATCTCCATCCTATGAATCATGAAAATTTGTAAATTAATGTAGTTCTTATTTGCAAACACTGTGTCTCAGAGTCCTGGCCTTATTCTTGCTTGATCACAAAAAGACTAGCTTGGAACTTTACGTAATAATATGAAGGAACAAGAAAGTCTACACCATATTCTGAGTAAGGGTTTATTGTTCGGTAAATGTCCCTTCCACTAAATTCTAAGTTGCCTGGGGACAGAGACTATACACCTGTGGTACCAAAATCAAACTTAATGAACAAGTTCATGTCAAAATATACACAGCTTTCAGTATAATAAAACACTCCCTGAAAATCCTCTCATTGCATTAGAACAGTCATAGTGAAGAAATGATGGCCAGTTTACAATAGCAGTCTATCCCAGTTTTGAACAGCTGTACTATTAGGAATTGTACTGGGGGGGGTATGTGTGTAGGGGGGTGTAGTTTCCCAGCATCAAAATGCCCTTGCTATGCTTGGTGAATCCACCATTCTGTGTGAGGAGACAAAAGTCACATCTCTCATCATGTAAACGAATAATGACAGATATGTTTTCCCCCTTGATCTTTGACATTTAGTGCATGATATGTGAACCTGCAGCTAGAACTGTGGATTTTTTTTAATACATAGACTAATTGCTTGTCCTTTTATTTTTTAAAAATTATTTTTATTTTTCAATTACAGTTGACATTCAATATTATATGAGTTTCAGGTTTACAGTGTATCTTAAAGCAATTTACCCAAACAAGCAGGGACCATCTAGAATTCATTGCACTTGTGACATCGAGTGTCCAGTGGTGGTAGTGGCTGTACTCCGTCCAGACGGTTCCTAAAAATGACCTTAATTATGATACAGTAGCTTGTATGGCTTTGCTAATTACCCCTTGAATGCAGTCAACCCAGATCTATCCTTTACGGTCTGGCCTAGCTCCATCAGAAATAGAAGTCTGCAAAGGAATCTGAGAAGAGGAAAAGGGGCGGGATGAGGCATCCCAAGACCTAAGGGGAAACTCACTGAGAGCAATCAACTCATGGGCTCAAAACCCTGTGATCCATGGAGCAGCGGCAGCTGCTAGGACTCAGACGTGCTCATTTAAATGTTGGCTATTAGTATTTCTGATTACTTAAACTTTTTTGGAATAATGAATAGGCATCAGATTTACAAAACATAAACCCATCCCTTCAACACGCACGCAAGAGCTTGGACCCTTGCAGCCGACTGCATTGGTTCACATTCTGATGCTACCGCTGGGCCAAGACACTTCTCTTCTCGGGGCTTTGTGTTCCTCTGTCGACAAAGGGAGGACAATAGCACGTACCTCAGGAGGCTTAACTTAGACAATCCGTGCAAACGGTAGCCCCGCACGGGCACCTGGGGAAGGCTCAAGGGTGAACGCCATTAGAACAGCCCTCAGTCTGTCCTACAGAGATGCTGTGATTCTGTCCCAAGATGCTTTCAGGCAGGCTCTACAGGTTTAGAGTCCTGGGACCTCAGGACCAGAAGGAAGGGCCCCCAGAGCACAAGAGGTCGACCCGCCGGCGGGTGCAGGAGGCCGGCCCACCTCAGAATTGCCCGCGGCTTCGCCTTCCAGCGGCACTGTCTCTCCAGAAGGTACTGCCTTTAAAAAACAAAACGAAACAAAACAAAAAACAACACAGCCACGGCAAGAAGCCCCCTGTGGACACCCGGGAAACCAACTCTGAGCAAAGTTGAGAGGAAGCCCTCTCCTCAGCACCGACTCCGAGCTCTCCGCTCTCGCTAGCACCTGCGCAGGCGCAGTAAGTGGGCGGAGCTGACGCGCGGCTGGGGCTAAACTTCCCGTGAGAAGTGCGCGTTCTCGCGGGAACTGCATTCAAAAAGCCGCGGCGCTTAGCCGGAAGGTAGGTGTGCGCGTCGGCTAATGTTTCTGTGGCAGGAAGAGTTACCCTCAGAAGCCTGGGCGCTGTGAACTCGCCGCGAGCCGCCGCCGGCAGCAGCTGGGGAAGGGGTGCTGGAGGTAGGGGCAAAGGGCCTGGAGGGAAGTGCGTGTGGCGAGGAGCGGTGGGGAGCGGCGCTGAAGGGCTCCTGCGGGGAAGAGAGGGCCCTCGGAAACCTGGGGCCTGGATCTCGGCCGAGGGCGTAGGCCGTAACGGCTTCTCCCGCGGAACCCTGAGTCCTTGTCCACAGGGTTCCGAGTCGGTTTCAGTTTTCCGTTGGGCCGCCTCGACGCCCCCCCCGGGGATGCTGCCTGGACTTGGAAGGCCTGGGAGGCCGCCGGGGCCTCCGAAAGATAACAGACACGAGACCTGCGCTGTCCGGGATGAGAAATGCTGTAAATGTGAAATATACAGTGGATTTCGAAGACTATACAAAAGTCATATTTCGTTAATAAAATCATATTTCGTGTTATGGTTACATGTTGAAATGATATTTGGGATGTATTGGGTTAAGGAAAATATTATCCAAATGAATTTCGGTGGTATTTACCTTTTTTTTTAATGTGTCTGCTTGACAATTAAAAATCCCATATGTGGCTTTCCTGATTATTTCTGTTGGACAGCGCTGCCCCAGACAGCTGCGTGTCCGATTCCCCCCTACCTGCTTTTCACAAGCCATTGGCCGATTTAACCTTCTCAAAACCCCTGTTAGGTCGATGTTATTGGCCTTGTTTTATGGATGACAGGACAAGACATTACATAAGATGTTGTGGTCCCTGCAGCCAGTGAGTAGTGAACGTGGGGTAAGGACTCGGCAACCGGATTGCCAGGCCTTCCAGTCTCCTCAATGCTTTGCACAGGCCATGCTTCTGCGGGGCAGGACGTTAGGAGCTGGACCCCCCTTCCCGTCTCACTCAGCCGCTTACTAGCTGATAACCTTTGCGCAAGTTACTTAACCTTTCTGGGCCTCGGTTTGCACATGTGTAAATGGGGGAATTCCCTTATTTCATGGGGTTGTCGGGTGGATTAAATAAGATAAAGTATGCAAAGCACCAAGCACAATATCTGGCACATATTAGCTGTAGTTGTTATTCAACCCTGGCTGCCTCTCTTTGCAGATGGATATTTAACTCTTACACATTCATCTACTGAAAACTCACTTCCTCAGGGAAATCTCTCTTGTCCTGATACCCCCACCCCCACCCCACCCACCCTACCCCACTACCCAGATTGGGACATCCCCTGGTGTTGTAGGCTCAGATAGTACCCTACAGCTCTCCTGTGCACTTATCACCAGTTTAAACTTTGCAGGTATTTGGACATCTTCTCGTTCACAGCAAGATATTGTTATGTGAAAAATACATAGGGCTC